ATCGTAGTTATAACTGTAAAATTTCTATAAAAGTGCTTTATAACAAAAGCTATAAAACGTTTTCTTTCAAGTTTTAAGGCGTTTACTAACAAATAATAAGTTTTATGTCCATTAAAATCCAGCAAATATCATTTACATTTTAACAAATGCAGTCCAAGAAAAGAGAAAAAATTATTTTATTACTACATTTTTGTATTACTTTACGTAAAGAAATTAATTATTTTTCAACAAAACTCGATTGAAGTAAACCTGACTTTCATTCTGTCTTCTTTCTAATAGCATTTTTTTCCAGCGCTAAAAATTTTTTATATGTTTAAAAGAAATTTTTGCTGCTTTTTAGAATAAATAATTGTTGAAAAATATCATATATCTAAAGAAGTGCTATGTAACATATGCTATAAATCGTTTTCTTTCTAGTTTCAAAGCGTATTTTAACAAATAGAAAATTTTATGTCTAATAATATGTAGCAAATAACATTTACATTTCAACAACTGCAGTCCAAAAAAAGAGAAAAAATCATTTTATTACACCTTTTTTTGGTTACTTTACGTGTAGAATTCACTTTTTTTTGGACAAATGTCGATAGTAGCCAAAAAAACAGCTATTCTGTTTTGTTCCTAATAGAACATTTTACCGTCGCTAAAGATATTTCTATATATTTAGAAGAAATTTTTGCTACTTTCTGGATAAAATTGTTGTTAAAAACTATAAAATTTCAAAAATTCTGCTATATAACAAAAGCTACATAGCGTTTCCTTTCAAGTTTTAAGGCGTATACTAGCAAATAATAAGTGTTAAATCCAAAAAAATTTATCAAATATTATTTACACTGCAACGCCTGCAGTCCAAGAAAAGAAAAAAAATCATTTTATTACACCTTTTTTTGGTAACTTTACGTGTAGAATTCACTTTTTTTTAGACAAAATTCGATTGTAGTCAACAAAACAGCTATTCTGTTTAGTTCCTGATAGCACATTTTACCGTCGTAAAAAATATTTCGATATATTTAAAAAAAATTTTTACTATTTTCTGGATAAAATCTTTGTTAAAAACTATAAAATTTCCAATACAGTGCTATATAACAAAAGCTACATAACGTTTTCTTTCAAGTTTTAAAGCGTATTCTTACAAATAAAAAGTGTTAAGTCTAATATAATATAGCAAAAAACATTTATATTTCAACAACTGCAGTCCATAAAAAAGGAAAAATTCATTTTTTTCTACTTTTTTTGGTTACTTTACGTAAAGAATGTAATTCTTTTGCAAAAAAATTCGGTTATAGTCAACCAATTATTCATTCTGTTTAGATTCTAATAGCACATTTTTAACTTTGCTAAAAATTTTTTAATAAATTTGAAAGAATTTTTCGCTACTTTCTGGACTAAATCATAGTTAAAACTGAAAAATTTCTATAATCTGATATTTACCAGAAAATATAAAACGTTTTCTTTTAAACTTTAAAGCATATATTAACAAAAAAAAGTGTAAAGTCCGAAAAAATCCAGCAAAAATCATTTAAATTTTAACTACTGCAGTCCAAGAAAAGACAAAATATCATTTTATTACACCTCTTGCTGGTTACTTTACGTGTAAAATTCACTTTTTTTTCGACAAAAATCGATTGTAGTCAACGAAACATCTATTCTGTTTAGATCCTTATAGCACATTTTACCGTCGCCAAAAATATTTGAATACACTTTAAAGTAATTTTTGCCCTTTTCTGGATAAAAACGTAGTTAAAAACAATAAAATTTCAAAAATGTTGCTATATAACATAAGCTACACAACGTTATCTTTTAAGTTTTAAAGCGTATTCTAACCAAAGGAAAGTGTTATGTCCAATAATATTTAGCAAATTGCATATATATTTTAACAACTGCAGTCCGATAAAAAGGGAAAAAGTAATTTTTTTCTACTTTTCTTGGTTACTATACGTCTAGAATGTAACTCTTTCGATGAAACTCGATTGTTGTCAACCTGACTTTCATTCTGTCTTGTTTCTTATAGCACATTTTTACCGTCGCTAAAAACTACTTATTATATTTAAAAGAAATTTTAGCTGCTTTTTAGAATAAATAATTGTTTAAAAATATCAGACATCTAAAGAAGTGCTATATAACATATGCTATAAAACGTTTTCTTTCAAGTTTTAAAGCGTATTCTAACAAATAAAAAGTGTTCAGTCTAATAAAATCAAGCAAATAACATTTTTATTTCACCAAACGAAGTCAAAGAAAGGGAAAAAATTGTTTTATAACAACTTTTTTGGATTACTTTACGAAAAGAATTCAATTATTTTTCTACAAAACTCGATTGTAGTAAACCTTAAAACCATTCTGTTTAGATCCTAATAGCTCATTTTACTGTCGCTAAAAATATTTTAATATATCTAAAAGAAATTTTTGCTATTTTCTGGATAAAATCGTTGTTAAAAACTATAAAATTTCAAAAATACTGCTATATAACAAAAGCTACATACTGTTTTCTTTCAAGTTTTAAAGCGTATACTAGCAAATAAAAAGTGTAAAACTTAAAAAAATCCAGCAAATATCATTTACATTTCAACAAATGCAGTCTAAGAAAAGATAAAAAATCATTTTATTACAACTTTTTTGGATTACTTTACGTAAAGTATTCCATTATTTTTAAACAAAACTCGATTGTAGTAAACCTGACTTTCATTTTGTCTTGTTTCTAATAGCACATTTTTTCCGTAGCTAAAAATTTTGTATAATATTTACATAAATTTTTGCTACTTTCTGGATAAAATCGTTGCAAAGAACTGTAAAATTTCAAAAATACTGGTATATAACCATAGCTACATACCGTTTTCTTTCAAGTTTTAAAGCGTATTCTTACAAATAAAAAGATTTAAGTCTAATATAATACAGCAAATAACATTTATACTTCAACAACTGCAGTCCCAAAAAAGGGAAAAAATCATTTCATTAGAACTATATTATGTTACTTTACGTAAAGATTTTAATTTTTTTTGCGAAAAAATTCGATTGTAGTCAACCAAACAATCATTCTATTTAGTTTCTAATAGCACATTTTTACATTTTAAAAAAATTTTTTAATACATTTAAAAGAATTTTTCGCTACTTTCTGGATTAAATCGTAGTTAAAACTGTAAAATTTCTAAAAAAGTGCTATATAACAATAGCTACATAACATTTTCTTTCAAGTTTTAAAGCGTATTCTAACAAATAAAAAGTGTTAAGTCTAATATAATATAGCAAATAACATTTATATTTCAAAAACTGCAGTCCATAAAAAGAGCAAAAATCATGTTATAACGACTTTTTTTGTTACTTCACGTGTAGAATTAAACTATTTCTCAACAAAATTCAATTGTAGACAACCATACATCTATTCTGTTTAGTTTCCAATAGCACATTTTCACCTTCGCTAGAAAATTTTTTTATCTATAAAAAAAAATTTCGCTGCTTCCTACATTAAATAATTTTTGAAAACTATCAGATATCTAAAGAAGTGCTGTATAACATATGCTATAAAACGTATTCTTTCAAGTTTTAAAGCGTGTACTAGCAAATAAAAAGTGTTTGGTCCAATAAAATCCCGCAAATAACATTTATATTTTAATAACTGCAGTACAAAAAAAGGAAAAAAACTATTTTATTGCAACTTTTTTGGGATACTTTACGTGAAGAATGCAATTCTTTTTCAACGAAACTCGATTGTATTAAAGCAAACATCTATTATGTTTTATTTCTAGTAGCATATTTTAAACGTCGCTAAAAATTTTAATATATTTAGAAAGAAACTTTTGCTACTTTCTAGATAAAAACGTAGTTAAAAATTATAAAAAAATTTAAAAAAGTGCTGTTCGAGAATAGAAAGGTTATTAGATTTGAATGAGATGCTCTAAGAGAAGACAAGGAGATAGGCGAGATAGGCTAGTGGACTGTATAAATGAGGAATTTACTGGTAGAACTTATGTGTAACAAGATTTAATAGATATTAGGTACAGAAAAATAGAGATAGCGAAAGTATAATAGATTTTTACAAGCAGTAATAGATAAGCTACGCCACGTGTACCGGATATCACGCCACGTGTACCGGAAGTACGTAGCACGAGAAGCTGTTAGAACAAAAAGAAGGAAAATGTGATAATGAGAAACGAAAGAATTGATGAAACGAAGATTACAACAAAAATGAGAGGTCAGAACGAATAAAGAGAGGTTCATATTAGAGATAAAGGATGTGAGATTACCTGAGAAGTCGTTAGTGAGAGAGAGTATAAAGAGATGGTCTAGATGAGGAAAAGCGAGATGAGAGATGAGATGGAACGGTGAGAGATAAGAATTAAAGCGAGATKARGACTATGAGATGAATTCACAAATTTCAGAGATTTTTAAATATACGTCCGCACTGTTTAACTTCGTAAAAGATTGTGTCGGACCACGYYACTTTTYKRTTCGATTAGARGAAYAGAGCGGAAGTGGAGAAAAGACAATACACCAATTAGCGAGTTCCACGCTGGGAAGAGATGACAAACGATTAATAGGAAAGAAACACGCAGAGGATGACGACACAGGGGACCAATGACCTATTGAAACGTCAAGTAGCGTGATCCCTTGATCAATAGAAACAATCGAAATGTCTTCTTCTCAGCGATAACAGACGGCGCATTAATCATGCTAGCCAAGTGGTGCTGCTATCTAGTCTGAGGGGCGCAATTTTCGAAAATTCTTCCCCCCAATTCTCGAGCGTGATTCGAGAATTTGACATGGTGAGATGTGCTGAACCGCTAAGAAAATTATTTTTCCTTGTGCGGTTGGAGAGGCAATGGTGCGAGCTTGACGATAGATCTAGTGATAGTGATGGTGGCGGTCTTCAGCGTGACAACCCTGCAGAGACCCTCCTTTCCTGGGTGTAGTTGTATCACCCTGGCGAGAGGCCATTTTGACGGAGGAAGTCGTTCGTCGGTAATGAGGACAAGAGACCCTTCAATGATATCGTTCTGCGATGTCTGCTATTTCGATGTGGTCTGATGCGCTTGCAGGTATTCCGTCGGCCAACTTCTCCAAAATTGCTGGAAACGCTCTTGAATCCGCTGGAAATGAGATAACCTGGAATCTGAGATGTCGGTTAGAGAATGCTCGGGGATAGTTGTTAATGCTTTCCCTCTGATGAAATGCCCTGGTGKTAATGCTCTGATGTCATCRGGGTCCTCCGAGAGAGAGCTGAGAGGTCTAGAGTTGAGAACCGCCTCAACTTGAGCTAAGAACGTGGAGAAGTCTTCGAACGTTAGCAACGTATCCGAGATGGTTCGTTTGAGATGATACTTGATTGATTTCACCGATGCCTCCCATTTTCCACCCATATGTGGTGCCGCTGGAGGATTGAAGATCCACTTAGTGCCGTCATTAGCGAGAAGTCTCTGGATCTTGAGGGATTCCTTCGTTGCAGCTGAGAGTAGCTCCTTAAGCTGCTTGTTTGCTCCCTGAAAGTTAGTACCACAGTCGCTTCTGAGCGTTTTTGGAATGCCCCTACGGCTGGTAAACCGTCGAAATGCCTTGAGAAATCCTTCGGGTGAGTAGTCTGAGACTACTTCGAGATGAACGGCAGAGGTGGAGAAGCATATGAACACTGCTATCCAACCCTTGAAGGACTTTGCACCTCTGCCTTGAAAAGTCTTCATGGTGACTGGCCCGGCGTAATCCAGCCCTGTAGTCTCGAACACAGGAGATGGTGTCACTCGAGATGCTAGGAGTGGAGCAATGAGTTGTTGTGCTCTCACTCCACGTATTCGAGCACAAGAGAGACAATCTTTGAGGAAGGACTTCACTGGAGCACGATCTCCAATAATCCAGAAAGTCCTTCGAATGTAGGAGAGCRTHAGCTGAKTTCCTCCATGCAWRGTTCTGGCATGAGCATCGGAGATGACTAGGTTGGTGAATTTTGACTGACGAGGTAGTATTGCTGGATGTTTACTATCATCGTATAGCTGAGAATTTTGCAGCCGTCCACCAACCCTGAGAATTCCAGCACGATCGACAAAGGCCGTGAGTCGCGTAAGAACGTGACGTTTGTTGAGAGATTGTCCTGCCGACAACGTTCTTAATTCTGGTGAGAAATACGCCTCTTGAGTCGCGCGTATCCAGAACGATTTTGCCTTCTCCAGATCTGCTGGATTCAATGCCAATGCGGACAAGCTCGAACCAGGAACCTTCTTAAATCGCGAGACCGCTCTCTGAATGATTGCTGTGATCCAAAGTAGTTTAGTGAGATGCCAATGAAAGGAGGATGATTGAGGAAGGTCAACGAGGTACCAAACTAGAGGTTGGACTTGAGAGAGTGCAAGTGAGATGCCAGGACGTTCCTCCATATCTTCTTCCGGTGAGGGTAGCACTGACGAGGGCCAAAATTCTGGCGACTAAGAAAGCCATGGTGGACCATTTCACCATAGTGGGTGATCAATGAGTTGAGATGCACTGAGACCACGAGATGCACAGTCAGCTAGATTGAGCTTTCCGGAGATGAATCTCCAATGAGCATGGKGTACAGACTCGTGAATAGCGGCTACCCTATTGCCTACGAATTCCTTCCATCTCATAGAATTGTTTTTGACCCATGCAAGGGTCACAGAGGAGTCAGACCACAGAAAAGT